ATTTATATACATTTACACATATATTTATATTTGTATTTGTACATGCTATACAATATATATATATATATTTATATATATATATATATTTATATTTATATTTATATTTATATTTATATTTATATTTATATTTATATTTATATTTATGTTTATATTTATATTTATATTTATACTTAAATATGTATATATTTATATAATATTATAGCCATCAATTTGTGCCCCTGTGGGCATAAATTGCTTATTAATATATTTCCCCTTAGCCACTTTTGTTTATATATAAATGGCCTTACAGCGGCCTGTAAGCTTCTCCTGCGAGGCTATATTTACATATATATATTTATACATTGATAGGCCTTTATATTTGTTTATTTATTTATATATTATATATTTTTATATTTATATATTTATATATTTGTATATATATATATATATACATTTACATAATTACATATTTATTTCTTTATGCATTTATATATGCATATTATGTGCACAGCATATGTAGCAGTTCCAGTGCACAGGCACACAGGCGCCTCTAGGGTTTAGGGTTTAGGGTTTAGGGTTTTGCCTGCATGCAGCGACCCCGCCCTACGGGAAAACCCCCCTGAAGTCCCTCTTTATGAAAAGTTAGTTCGCTGCATTGTTGATGCGCCTCGGGTCACCAGATTTCAGATTGACTGGGACGACGAGGTATCTGTGGGGCCCCCGGGGGCCCCCGGGGGCCCCCAGGAGGGCGGCCCCCGCGTGGGGGCCCCCAGCTCGCCCCAGCAGCCGTTGAAGGCTTCCCCAGAGGGCCCCGCGCAGGACTCCGAGGCCGCAGCCACTGCTGCAACAACCCCGCCTGCTGCTGCTGCTGCTGCTGCTGCTGCAGCAGCAGGGGGGGGCCCCTCGTCCCCCACAGAAGATGTAAGCGACGGCAGGGGCCCCACAGACACCAAACGCAGGGGCCCCCTAGCCCGGGGGGCCCCCGGGGCCCCCGACACCCCCAGGGGCCCCAAGCGGCGGCGAGGCGCGGGAAGCGAAGGCGCTCCCGCTGCTGCAGCTGCTGCTGCTGCTGCAGCTGCTGCTGCTGCTGAGGGCAGCGAGCAGCAAACTGCGTAGAAAGTGGGGGCTTTTGGGGACAAAGCTCTCTGGCAATAACAGCCAAAAGCCCCCAAGTACACTCAGACTGCATAGCGCTCCCAGGCCTGCTTGGCATTTGCCTCTAGAGGCCGTGGGGGCCCCCTGGGGGCCCCCCTGGGGGCCCCCAAGGTCCCCCCTGGGCCTCCCGGGGGCCCCCGGGGGGCCCCAGGTGGCCCCCGGGGCCCCCTGGGGGCCCCCGGGGGCCCCCAGGGGGCCCCCTGGGGGCCCCCAGGGGCCCCCCGGGAGGCCTGCAGGCGCGGCTGTAGGGGGGAGGGCTTAGGGGCCTGAAGGGATTTGGGTTTTGTTTTTCTTAGGTGAGCGAGATGGAAGTGGATGTGAACTAGAGAGGCCTGGCGGGCGGGGCGGCGCGGGGGGCCCTTTAGAGGCAGTTGCTGCTGCTGCTGCTGCTGCTGCTGCTGCTGCTGCTGCTGCTGCTGCTGCTAGTTTCCCACTTAGTCCCCTTTGGGGGCCCCCTTTGGGGGCCCCCTTTGGGGAACCCAGCCCTGCTGCCCCCAGCAAGCTGCTGCTGCTGCTGCTGCTGCTGCTGCAGCTGCTGGTCTTTCTCCCTGTCTTCCCCCGCCTTGGGGGCCCCTCAGATAACTCCATCGGGCTGAAGGGCCCCCAGGCAACTGGGGGCCCCTCAGACTAATGGGGGCCCCTTAGATGGGGGGCCCCTCAGATGCCCTTTGAGGAGCTTCTGTGGGGCCCCCAAGGGACTGCTGAGGGTCCATTTGAGGGGCCCACAGGGCCTCCGCCTGGGGGCCCCCATAGCCTGTGGGGCCCCCTGGGGGGCCCTTTAGGGATATTTCAAAGGCCACTTGGGGGCCCCTGGGGGCCCCCAAATGGCTCAGGGATATTTCAAAGGCCATTTGGGGGCCCCTGGGGGCCCCCGGAAGCTCCTGGGGGTTCAGAGAGGGCGCGGGGCCCCAGGGGGGCCCCCAAAAGCAGGGGCCCCTCCTCCAGAGGGTACAAAACTCAATAAGGCTTTTCTCCATGCGCTCCCTTTGCCTAGCTTAGCTGCGTGTTGTTTGCTGCCGAGACACAGAGCCAGTAGCAGCTGAAGCAGCAGCAGCAGCAGCAGCAGCAGCAGCAGCAGCAGTAGCAGCAGCAGTAGCAGCAGCAGCAATGGGGAGCCACAAGGAAGCCAAACAAACCCAGAAGGGGGCAAAACATGTTAAGAGCAAACAGCCAGCCAGCACGGCCCTGCTGCAGCCCAGCCCGTCTTGGCTGCTGCTGCCTGGGGGCCCCACAGGGGGCTCCAAGCAGCAGCAGCTGCAGCAGCAGCAGCAGCTGCAGCAGCTGCAGCAGAGCCGCGCGAGCTGCCGCTGCAAGCCGGAGGCTACTTACAGCCTCAGACAGGCCCCAGGGGCCTCTTGGGGTTCCCAAGGGGGCCTCAGATGGGCCCCAGGGACATCTCAGGGGCCCCAGGGGGGCCCCAGGGGTCTCTGAGGGGCCCCAGGGGGGCCCCAAGGGGGCCCCAGGGGGCCTTAGGGGCCCCCCGCCACCTATTGGGGGCCCCTGCGAGGCCTTGCCCATCTGGGCCAGGCCTGGGGGCTTTCCCTCTCGGCCTTGACGGCCACGAGGCGCAGCTCGCGTAGGACCTCTCGCGCTGCTGCTGCTGCAGCACAGGTGCGCTGCCGAGCAGCAGCAGCAGCAGCAGCAGCAGCAGCAGCAGCAGGGTCTGCAGCAGCTGCAGCAGATGAAGCTGGGCTGGGAGAGGAGCCTCTAGCCGGCCCTCTTTCAGAACCCACTGGGGAAAGGGAAGCCCCCGACGAAGCAGGCGCTGCTGCCCCGCAGCCCTCCGCTGCTGCTGTTGCTGCTGCTGTTGCTGCTGCTGCCTTCGCATCAGCAGCAGCAGCAGCAGCAGCAGCAGCGCTACAGGCGCCAGGGAGAGAGCGGGAACACATGGCCAGGGCCTGGCGACGAGCGGCCCTGACGAGCTCCACGTAGCAGAGGCGGAAGGCCTCTTGGCACTGACGAGTTGCTGCTCTTCTGCTGCTGTTGCGGCTGCTGCTGCTGCTGCTGCTGCTGCTGCTGCTGCTGCTGCTGCTGAGTGCAGCGCAGCGCTTAGACGCAGCAGGCCTGCAGTTGCTTGTGGGGCCCTTGCCTTGCTGCTGCACTTTACACCCCAAACCCTCTTCTTGCTGCTGCTGCCCGGATCCGGGCTGGAGCTTCCCCTGGGGCCCCCTGGGGGGCTCCCAGGGGGGCCCCCAGGGGGGCCCCCTTGGGGGCCCCCCTTGGGGCGGAAGCGGAGGCCCTGCATGCAGAGCGGGCTCAGGCGCTGCTTGAAGACCCGCGCTGCAGGCAAGGTGGCCATTACCCTCAGGCGGCAGCGCACGGCCTGCACTGTGAGGGGGGGGCCCCCACCTGGGGGCCCCCTAGCAGGGGGCCCCCCACCTGGGGGCCCCCTAGCAGGGGGCCCCCCACCTGGGGGCCCCCCAGTAGGGGGCCCCCCAGCAGGGGGCCCCCCCGTTGGGGGCCCTCGGGCTCCTGGCTCCGAGCCCTGGGGTACTCCCGGGCCCACCCCTGCTGCTGCTGCTGCTGCTGCTGCTGCTGCTGCGGGTCTGGTGGCCGCTGCAGCCCCTGCTGCAGCAAAGACTGCAGCAGCAGGCCGGGCGTGGGCGCGCAGGAAGAGCCAAGAGTACTCCAGCAGTCGCCGCGAAAGCCCTAAGGGTGGCAGCACTCGGCACAAACTGCCAATTTCCACACTCCCCAAACCCCAAACCCTAAACCCTAAACCCTAAACCCTAAACCCTCGTCCCAGCTTCCCATCAGAGCCTCTAACCCGCCCTCTTGCCCGCAGCGTCCCGTTCCGCGCTCAGCCTCTGCAGGCACTGCCCCCCACCCTAAACCCCAAACCCTAAACCCTAAACCCCCTCCCCACTCCCCCCCACCCCCTAAACCCTAAACCCTAAACCCTAAAC